TTCAAGCTAAAGAGAATAATGTCCAATTCGATTATGTTTCACGATGAAAATCAATAAAGCTCAGGACAAACAATTCCAAATGTAGTTCGAGAATCTATTTCTCGCATGACCAACTTTATGTGGCATTGTCCAAAGGGATATCACGTGTCAATACAAAAGTATTAGTGAAGTGGGACGAACAATTCAAAGGCAGTGAAGTCTATACATTAAATGTTGTGTATAAAAAAGTATTTGATGATTAATAATGTACGATCAATCATGTGTTGTACACATTTGTAAACAATCATAACTCTTCATTTTTTATTCTAACTAATTTTGTATTTGCTGGAATGACTCTGACTGATTATTATTTAGATATAGTAAACTATTTCCACAAAATAACTAATCGTCCCTAGAAACTAATTTTTGAAAGATATTAATCGTACCCATCGCTTGGCGTGGGTAAACGGCTAGTATATATATATATATATATATATATAGATATATATATATATATATATATATATATATATATATATATATATATATATGGAGAAAGAACGACTTGATTGAAATACAGGGGATACTAGATTTATCCCATTAAGTTCTATTTTCGTTACATATTTGTTTTCCTTTTGAATTTCTAAAGTGTTCTTTCATGTTTTTCAAATATGTTTTAAGTATTATTTATTAAGACAACACTTGATGAAAAGAGATAAGAAAAATTGTGTTAGAATGGTTTGATTCTTAGAGCTTATAAGTTTAGGCCACAAAATTGGCTTTATTACATAGATATGTTAGGTTAAATGCAAGAAATAAGATAACTTTTATTGAATTGTATTATATGAATTGTATATTATATGGATCATACTAGGTAAATTTTTTAAACTATAAGGGTGGACGAAGCGGAGCTGGGTAACACCTGATTTAAAGGCGGCAGGCGGTATTGGCTCGGCTACACAACTGGCTACACCTCGAGTGGTACCACCATCTGGGAGAAGAAATGGGCTAACTAAACCATTGCAACTCTCTCTCTCTCTCTCTCTCTCGTTTGACCAATGGTCAAATTTTCAAAAAAAAGTTATCGTTTTTACCAACTATAAATACAACCTTCATCCACTTCAAAAGCCACATCTTCTCTCCAATTTCATTTCAACTTTCTTCAATTCTATTCTAATTCTTTCCAATTCCATTTACATTTTCTCCATATTCATTCCAATTCATACCCAAATGGATGCTAGTCGTCGCCATTCCCCTACAATCACCCAAACCAACACGAAGAATAAAGTGACAAATCGACACAACATCAGAAATCCATAACTGAATATGAAGAAATGGCGTTGGCAAAAGCTTACATTGACATTTTGGAAGATAATGAATGTGGAAACTAACAAATAGCAAATGATTGTTGGGTGTGAATTTTGGAACACTTTAAACTGCAACTTTGGAGAGTCTGATCATTCAACACATCAAATTAACTCCAAATTGAAGGATATACATGCAAAAATGAACCATCTAAATTACATCTTAAACCAAAATATGAATACTTTTGCACCTAGAATTTTCAGAGGTCGATATTTTATATTCAACAAAAGTTGAGTATCACAAACACTACATGAAAGATTTCCACACGAGGTAGCCTGAGATATTTTAAAAATATAACCAAGTATAATATTTTCATCAGAATACATAACAATTGTTATTGCAATAAATTTGATAAAATTTTCAAAGCACATTGCCTTCATAAGAAAAAAAATGTTGAAGTATAACTTTGTAGGCATATCCCTAAGTAAGGTTTTTGAAAAAAAATGTTAATAAAAAGGGTACATGGACACATATGATTTACCTACAACACTATCAAACTATATACGAGGATGCATACCTCCATCACCGCATGGCAGTTTACCATCTCTCACACCATCCCCAAAAAGGTAACCTCCTTTTCCACCACAACATAAGAAGATGTAGTGCAATCCCATCACATCTCTATCCACACCACCACAACCAATAGCTCCATCACCACCACCACAAACCACTAGAGGCACAACATCAGAAGCAAAGAACATAATCATAATGGAGTTACGAGTAGATGTTAATGAATATAAGAGGTTGTTGATATTCGTTTATGGTATTGTACAAGCATATTATGTTCGTCTTTCATTGATCGAGGGTGTGTTGGGAAGACTTCCATAACCTAGATTAGAGATGCTAAACCCCATACATTATGGCGTTTTCCCGAGTGAATGTTCGTAGTAGAATCGTTTGTCGTACCCTCGAGGCACAGGCCCTCACAAGATGCCGCAATACTTTTTTAATATCACATGTTTATTATAATAAGTCGGTCATAAAATTATATAACTCATTTCTTATTGTATGGTAATGTTGTTAACGTACCCCGATACAGGCCCTCACATGATGCCAAGGTACAATTATAATATTACGTGCTAACAATATTGCTGATCATTTAAAATTATACTCCTTCCTTTCCAAAATTATTGTCCACATACAAAAAACACACAAATTAAGAAAACATTAATTACCTCTAACTTTATTAAATGAAATGACAATTGTACCCTTTAGTTGCATTTAATTCCACCCTTTTATTGCATTTAATTCCATGATAGGTTAACTAATAATGAGGGGTATATTGGTAAAATGGATATTTATTTTTAGAAGTAGGCTATTATTTTGAGACAAACCAAAACGGAAACATGGACTATTAATATGGGATGGGGGGAGTATAATCATTTTCTTATTGTAGGGTAATATTATTGCACCTGTATAACGACGTAGCTCAAGCTTAGGTGCCTTCATAGGTTATTGAGGTATAATTTTAATATTATGTGTTTACAATATTGTTGATCATTTAACATTTTATAAAGATTTTCTTATTTTACGGTGATGTTACTACGCCTGTACATCAACAAACCCCAGAAGGAGGAGCAGCAGAAGTAGCCCTTAGAGGATCCCGAGGTATAGTTTTAATATTAAATGTTTGCGATATTGTACCCTCTTCTTGTTGTAGTGTACCTCTCAAGGTGACAAACCTACACATGATGTCGTGGAGGTGCCTTAGTCATATTTCAAAACTCCACCGGTATACAAGACGTGTACACAAAGATATGGGAACCCTTTGATTTGGTTGAGGTCTCTGTGGTGCCTATGATAAGGAGAGGACATGCCCACCCACATTCATGCCCTTTGGTCGATTCCCTTGATGAGAGTATTTGTCACTTTATATATTCGGAAGGATGAATCGATACTAGTTGATCACCCTTTTGTCCTAGGAAGATTGATGAGAGTACTTGTCACTTTATATATTCGGAGGTATGTTCTATTTAGATTACATTACATAAGTATATGCCCAATGTGATGAACTGTATTGTAATGTTTGTGTTTTCTTTAATATGTCCATTGGTTCTACCACCCTTTAGGTTGTAACATGTTGTATGAGATTTACACGAATAGCATGGGTGCATGTCCAAAATGTCCCATTTAGGGGGTGTTTGAGATTGCTTATTTAAGGTGCTTATTAGGTTATTGCGGTTTGACATCGCTAATAAGCTGTTTTTAGTGTTTAGATGGATTAAAAATAAAAGTGTCAAACAGTTGTTGGCTTAAATAAGGAGTTTTTAATAAGTTCATGTGTTATAACTTATTTAAAATAACTTTTGACTTATTTAAACTAATTTACCATATTAACCCTATTGTAACTATATTTCTATATATATCCTATCCTTATTGGTCATTTCACATCTATAAGCATAAATTGCCATTCACTAAAAAACAACATATCAACTTATTATGTTTTGATACCGGATAAGCTAATCCAAACACCTTTTATAGAACTCCATTTTGACACTGGAAAAGCTGATAAACACTTTTACTTATCATAAGTTGTTTTGAATAAGCAATCCCAAACACCCGTTAGACTTTTTTTATTTTATATATGATATACATTCATGGACATTTTACTCTTTATTTTAACATATATATTCATGTGCAAAAATTGGGTTGTTTTTACTTAATATTATACGAACATTTAGTTTTGTTTAACAAACCACAATGAAACTTCAAAATGGCAGGCCGCCAGGCCGCCAGGCCGTAGGTGATGGTTGTGTATTCATAAACACAATTGTTAGACATTTAAAAAAATGTAGTATTAGTGTTAGAAGCTTAGGATTGAATTTACCACATTAAATTTAGAACGGAAAAAAAGGTAGTTATTTCACTTAGGAATCCAGAATGTGATCAAGTCTCTCGTGTTATTGCATAACTTTCTTTAATTAAAAGCCGTCGTTTCATTGTTATCTGATTATATTTGACTTGGTTATTTTTCTAATCAATACTACTATCATTCTATTTATTATTAGTATTGTTTTTTTTATATGTATCAGAACATATATTATGACCAATTGATTGGAAGGAAATTTGAAAGTATTAAAGAAAAAAAGTAGAATGAAAAAGTAGGTTGCTATTTAGTGATAGAAATTGCTAGTGATAACCCCATGTTTAAAATCCATGGGATCATATTGTTAACTTGTAGCAACAGGTGGCACTGTTGCCGGTTTTGCATCTTCTGCTTTTTCGTTTTCCTTGTTAAACATCTGAGCATAAACATCTCAATTTGCATCAATTTTTCTACCCATCTTAACAACGTACTTAATTTTTACACATGATAACAACATACTTTCATTTCGCTACAACATTGGATTGCGCTTTATTGATTGGAAGTACATTGTTACTGTATGCAATGTGCAAAAAAACCAAAACCCATACTTTCTTTTATGGTGGGTTTGGTTTTCTCTAAACAAAACCGAATATTGTTTTGTTGTGTGTAAATTTAATTGAATAAGTATTTTAAATTTTCATATAACGAACATGCCTTTATGGATTTCATTGAAAATTAAAACAATAAACATATCGTCTTGTATTACTTTCTAGTATTGGTTTAGTAAGGTCGTTATTAAAAAAAAAAAAAAAAAAAAAAAAAAAAAAAAAAAAACGTTTGGATATGAAATATGGAATTTATTCGAAATAATTTTCTGGTATTGCTCAAAAATCAAAATTCAACTTTTCATAAGTAAGGACTGACTTTTTAATAGCTTTTGGCCTTTTAAAGTTAAAATTACCGAAATACCCCCGTTCTCCCCCAATCGAAATACCCTCTTTCACGCCGTTAGGTTCATTCCCTTCACAACCTTCAACTGAGAGAAGAGCTGCGACCTTTCTCCTATCTCCGCTCCAGACTTCCTATCGCCGGCGCCGGCTACGGCTACTGCTCCTTCATCTGGTAAGTCCGACTTTCTTTATCCGGTTACACCATCTGGATCGATACATGATGTTTGATTTCTGGAATCGATGAAGCATATGACTTTCTTTTTCGATTTTGAATCTCGAGCTCAATTCTTGTTCCTAATTTCTGGGTTGGAATCCCACTTTCTTTTTCTGGTTCTGTACACCTCTTGATAAGCTGATGCTATTTTTTAATCATGAATTTTATTGGAATCAATGAAGCTTATAATCTATTTTGTTGATATTAGTCTGGGCTGTTGTTTTAAAATTCACTTAATAAACCTCTTAATCATCCATATGTCTGATCCAGTAAGATAAAAGATACTCGTGCATCTGTTTTTTTAACAAGATTTGAATGGGCCTATCTGATTCAATAAGCTAACTATGGAAAAGAAAAACCACTTCATTATGTATCTTAGCACCAAATAAAAAACTTGTTTAAAAGTAACAAACAAATCATCAGGAATGATCAACATAAGTAGATAACACTAGAAGTGCAGTACTTTGTTTGCCAATTTATAAAGCCACACGTCCATTTAAGATGCAAGAAAATGTGGTTTAACTTGTTAGACATTAATTTTTCAAAATTTCTAATAAGCAAATCAATAAAATTCCATTGCTATTTGTTGCATTTAACACTAAATTTACATTAGGGCTGAATGCAAGAACTAGAAACCTACTTGAATTTATTTGTTTATCTTCACATTCTTTTTGTTAGAATATTGTACTGTTAATTTTTTTTTTCTTTCTAAAGCATTCTACTTTAAAAAATTGTATTATGGCTAAAACAAGTAAAATAGGAACATGCTTTCATTTATTTGTTTATTATAGCATCCTACTTGTAATTTTTTTCATATTAAAGACATTCTTCCCAGAAAAATCTACCATTTTATAGCATTCAAGTTTGATATGTACCTTATGACATAGCTGTTATAATTTAGTAGATTTTTCAAAGTACAATACTACAATAGAAAAAAATGAAAAACAACCCAACAAAAACTATTTCTTCATTTACAAAACACGCTTTATTTTGCAGGAATTAGACTCCTAACTCTTTTCTTCACAACACCATGCCTAGATTCTTGGCTAATTTGGCAACAAAACTCAATTTTCCAAAACCAAATTCGTTAAAATTTGCAAGTCCTATACATTCCATTACTCGAAAGGAGTTCGAGTTCGAGCGAGGCCCCACCACCACCAGTCCAAACCAACAACCCCCGGTCAGAACCGGCGGTGGTGGTGGCTACTTTGACGGTCTGAGCCGGAGATTCTCCGGCACAGACCGTCCGATTGAACCGCTTCGGTTCAATCGGGACACTCGGCCGTTCACTCGCGACATGAACTTTGTCCGAGGAATAATGAAAGACAATCCTTCATCCGGAAGCGAGCAAAACGCGGATATAGTCCACATCAAACTAATGAGAAACAACACGTTTGTGACTGTAACGGATTCAAAGGGGAATAAGAAAATGGGGGCATCGGCGGGATGTTTGGCGGAAATGAAAGGTGGGCCCAAGGTGTCAAAATATGCGGCTGAAGCAACAGCTGAACATGTGGGACGTGTGGCCAAAAGTATGGGATTGAAGTCGGTTGTTGTGAAGGTTAATGGGTTTACTTTTTTTAAAAGGAAAAAGTTGGCGATTTTGGGGTTTAGAGATGGATATACGCATTCCAGATCAGATAGGAATCCGATTGTGTATATTGAGGATACCACTAGGAAGCCACATAACGGGTGTCGACTCAGGAAACAGCGACGTGTGTGATGATTTGTAGTTTCTTTTGAGATGCTTTTGTCTTAATAATTTTGGCAAGATTACTATTTAGGAGAAATTTGACTTGAATGATTTGTTACTTTATGTAATTTATAGGCCATCCCTATTTCAAGATCACTTTTTTATTTTTATCTTTCAGTTTTAAAGCTAGGAACCCCTGAATTTATTAGAACCTGCGACCTCTTTTATTATTTTATTTATTTTAAAAGTTCAAATATATTTTTAAAACTCTATTTTTTTTAACTGTATAAGTCGGTAAACATTTTTAAACAAAAAAGTAAATTGTTTTAAATAAGCAAACACAAACAACACCTATTTCTTTTAGTACTATTATAATTTTATTTAATAAATTTAATTTATCCCTAAAAATGAGATGTTACAAAGTCAATGTTTCAGTCGTTACGCTTTACAGAGTTTCCATTGAAGTGTGTTTCTGTGATAGAAGATACTGCAAGCTTTGTGATATACACACAATTTTCTTATCTAATTTGTGAAACCTAAAGTTTCGAAGTATGATGTTGTTTTGAGAACTATGATGCCCTTTCAACAAAACAATTTCACAAATTAAAGTAATATTTTTTGAAATACTTTTGAAAGAAGTAGTCAAGATTTGATGTTATGGTCAGCAAAACAATTATGAAAATTAGCATATTTTTTCAAAATTAAGACCTCTTCGGCTATAATTTCTCAAAATTATAGGCCATGATGGTTAATCTTTGACGGTGTTATATGTCGATTTTGATAAAACTTATGATTTCTTTGGGATTACCTAATTGAGATTATGGAAATAAATGAGTTTCGGTTTAGTTTGGTGTGGCTAGATTAGAACAAAATTCTGTCATTTCAATTTTTATTTCTCAAAATTCATTTTTACAAAGTAAGTTGTTAATTTGTGGTACTTAAAAAGTGTCATATAGTATCATAACAACCCTCATTTTGGTCATATTAATAGAAAACCCTATATTTTTATATTGCAAATAGTTAATGCCACTCAACCAGTTGTAAGTTCAAACACACGTATCTTGAAACTAGTTACATTCAAACATCTTCAAGTACAATGTCACGAGTTAGTCCGATGTGTGGATGTTCATGACATAAACGACATTATTTGGCTTGATCTTGTTCAACTCGATCCATGCGTATATAATTAGACTAGAAATGAACAAAAATTAGGCCAATGAACCATAACTGAAATAAATTTAGATTACATCCATCATTCCTTGAGATTTATCAGACTGTATACCAAGTAAACAGTTTTATTTCCTTTCACTTTTGTTGGAAAATTAATTTTATTAATTTCCAAAAATTGATTTTCTCCATTTTTGAGCATGGTTCGAACTTTCAATGTAATCAAAAAGGACAAATGGTTATGTGTTCGTGTTCTCCTCCGTGATACCTTCGTTTTGATATATCACACGTCCAAAACGGATTAGAAATGAATGAGAAATTACTTATCAAAGTGTGGTAGTTGGAAGAGAAAAATAAGTGGGTTAAACGTAGACCTGGCAAACGTGTCATGTCGTGTCGGGTTCGTGCCGTGTCAAGACATTAAACGGGTTGAGAGTGCTTGACCCTAACCCGATCCGTTTAATTATCGTGTCGTGTCGTGTCAACCTATTTATTTTCGTGTCGGGTTTCGGGTTAAGGTTTAAACCTTATAGATATGTTGTGTCATGTCGGGTTGAAACATTTTAAAGGTTGAAAAGTAAGAGTCATGGAGGAAAAAAAATGAAAATGTGAAATGCTGGAGTTGGGAGGTAAAACGGAAAAAAATTATACTCCCTCCGTCCCATATTTATTGTTTATTTTTTACTTTTGAAGTTTTTATTTTTATACTTTGACCTTAAATATTTTTATTTGTGTTATAAATTACGTGATAAAACTTATAACAATGAAAAGACATTTAAAACACAATCCATTCATATATTTTGCATTAAGTGTTACATATCAAAAACAAAAAGATTTGAGATCAAATTTGAAGAATAAAGACTTCAAAAGTCAAAATTTGACAATAAATATGGGACGAAGGTAGTAGTAAGTTTAGAAAGCAAAATGAAAAGAGTTAGAGTTAGGAAGCAAATGAGATAGGTAGTGAGGAAGAGTAAAATTAGGTCACTTTGAAATTTTGAATTTTACTTTTAGGTCTTGAATTTGGGCCACTACAAATGTATAATATTGAAAATATTTATAAAAATATGATATATATATATATATATATATATATATATATATATATATATATATATATATATAATTAAACGGGTCATCTTCGAGTTGAAAGTCTTGACCCTAACCCTACCCGTTTAATTATCGTGTCGTGTCGTGTCAACCCGTGTACATAAACGGGTCGAAATCTCTGACCCTAACTCGTGAACTTCGTGTCGGGTTCGTGCCGGGTTGTCGTGTCGTGTCAGATTTTGCCAGGTCTAGTTAAACGGTTTTAACTCATCCCATATTGATGGGAGTATGAAAAGGAAATGGGTATATAATTACAAAGACTAGCTATCTTTGTAAGATTTATTAGAACCAATTCTCTTTTTTGCACGCGCACGCAGGGGGTGCAAATGCGAGCCAATTTGGCTTCGGGGCACTGAACTTGTGTGCGAACGCGCGTTCTGTATGTACGAATGCACCACCGGTCACCAGAAAAGTTCAAGGGCCTTTTTGCAATTATTTCTTTTCAGTTAGCAGTTACAAAAACAAATTAAGAACTATTAATTATAGATTTCGGTTTTGATTTCTTGATTAATGGTCTTATTTAATTGTGACAGTTACAATTTCGTTTTAATTACATCAGTTATATTGGGTAGTATAAATACAACGCCTATGTGACTGATTAGACACACCGAATGAAACGAAATAATACTCTTCATCTCTTACGCTTCTGCTTCATCTTTTCTCTTTTGCTGCAACCAAGGTATAATCCGGCCAAGTGAGAGTTCTGACAATCTAGAAGAATTGTTTTCTACTGTTGTATCGTGGGAACAAACACCTATATAGGACGAATTTGTTTTAAGAAAATTGTGTTAAACACAGGCCTCAGTCAATAATTTTAGGATTTTGTTCTTTCGTATAGTTTTTGGGTTATATTTTCCTTACACACTTTACATGGAAACATTGGCGGACCTATGTAATGCCTGAGGGGTGCACTACTCCGATTCAACCCTTTAGTGTGTGTATATATATATATATATATATATATATATATATTAGGTGCAACGCCTTCGAAATATAAGTGTCACTATTAATTTTTTAGTGCCAACACTAGTCAAATGTTCTGTGTCCGCCGCTGCATGAAAGAGCATTAATTTATAGTAGTTGACATGAATAAAAATCTTATCTAACTATATACCAAGTTAACATTGGCGGCAGGGGCGGACCTAGTAGGTGTCTCGATGTGGCACCGACAACACCTATTTTTTCTGTCCGTAGTGGAAAAATTTTCGATTTTTTTATTTTTTTACCTATTTTTTCTACATCGGTAACACCTATTTCAACCTCGGCAACACCTACTATGTATTCCTGCGTCCGCCCCTGATTGGCGGACCTATGTAATGCCCGAGGGGTCTCGGGCCACTACTATGCTTCAGCCCGGTAGTGTATTTATTTTTTATTTTTTCTGTTAGGTACAACGTCTTCGAAATATGAGTGCCACTATTAATTTTTGGTGCCACCACTAATCAAATGTTCTGTGTCCGTCGCTTCTAATGAATCGAGTATAAATGGGTCAAGCGGTTCGGGTTTTTGGTCGGTTCCCGTTCACCAACCTAAAATAAAAAATAAAAAAAACATATGACATGTAGATCAAGTACACTATTAAAAAAAACATATGACATGTAGATCAAGATAATGAAGTAGCCACTACAATCTCACGTGAATAATCTCAAAAAAATAAATATATTACAAAAATGTGGCTGCTGGGATTCGAGCCCAGGTCTCCACGGCCACAACGTGGAATTCTTACCACTAAACTACAGCCACTTGATGTTTCTTTTGTCTATAAAAACATATAAATACTATGCTACTAAAAGAGCACAACAAACTTATTCCGCTGTAAAACGATGGGATACAGGTATAACCTACAAGCTTCAGACTCATTGCAAAGAAGGAAACTAGGATAAATTGATGGGTTTTGTTTTCTTGAAATTATAATGTTTGAAACAATTTTATGATAAAAATAATGACATGTTCATTATGTATCATTTCGATTTTTTTTCTTTATAAACACATGAACAATTTATTTTAGAGAAATTGTGTAAATTAAGCATTTTTTAATATTATTTTAATAATATTTACCTTTTTTTTAAAGACCACTCGGTGCGGAAAGGGTTATTCCGGACCTTATTTTGTATTCGGTAATGGATCCGATCCAGTAATGTGGTTCCCCTTATAAATACTATTTTAACCCATTTCGGACTTCATTTCGAACTCTGTCATTTCAGATTACCATACAGACAACATTTCAGACTTCAAACCGAAGGCCATAGTACCGAGTCAGGGGACCGAAGGCGGAAACGTTGAGTCCATGGACCGACGACAGTAATATTGAGTCCTTAGTTGGGTGTTGTTTAGGATGTGTTCCTAAATAGGCACATGTTGTATGATTTTGATGTTTATGCTATATAAATGCTTTGTATGTTCATAGGCGGACCTTAATGGAGCATTGGGGGGTCCCGGGCCACTGTTCAATTTCCGGCACGTAGTGTAATTTTTTTTTCTATTAAGTACACTAGCTTGAAGTACGAGGGACACCCCTACTAAAACAGTCTGCATCCGCCACTGTGTATGTTTGATAATGGCATGGTATGTAGGAGTAGGATGTAATACTTCTATTGTTATGTTGTGTTGGAATTCACTAAGCTTCGTGCTTACCCTTTCCTTCTTAAAATTATTGTTTCAGGACTTGTAGGTTCTTGTAAAGGGAATGACATGGCTTGACTATACAAATGGCGCAACTTGATGATTATTTATAACTATGGAACTGTATAAAC